GGCAGTGATACGGAAGAGGTGTCATTACACACCGTTCATCTGGGCTGCCTTCAGAGCCCAGGCAGCCCTGGAGGGCATCTACCGAAATGACCTGTTCATGTGCCACCCTTCCGGGCCGTATCGAGTACCCAAGGGTCAGAGACCAGTCTTACTGCCTGCAGCCAGCCCCGAGGGTGCTATTTGGAAAATTAAGCACTCAAGGCATATTTATGGAAAACTAATTACTCTAGAAATATTTACAGGATAATGTTGTAAAGACCTTTCTGAAGACTGAATGTGTGAGGACTACTATCACCACTGCTTGTGGTACAAAGGGGCCCTTCCCTCAGCACCTCCAGACCCACATGCAGAACTGTTTAAGGTAAACACTGACATCTCCAGCCCTTCTCCAAGGGCTTTTCCTTCCATGTAATCCCACACTTACTTGGCGGGTATCGGCTGCTGCGAGGGCAGCCCCAAGGTCGAGGCTCCGGGGTCTAGGGCGGGGCCTCATGGTCGTGCCCTCCAATCCTTGGCGGTGGTGCTCCCCGGGAGAACCAGCCGGCTCTGTGTTCAGTCCATCCATCTCTCCGGCCAGGTGCACAAGGAGCTCTGGGCTAAGCTGACTCTTCCCTTCCTTGCTGCTCAGCACCAGCTGCTCTTTGAGGAGGCTGATGATGTTGCAGGCGTTCTTCAGTTTGTCCTGGAGCTTTCTGAGCTCTGCCCGGAGGCTCTTCTCATTCAGACCCCCCGTGGCTGCCACCATGGCCTCGCCCTTCTCCTTGTCTTCCTCGATCTCCCCTCCGTCAGACATCGCTTCTCCCATCTGCTCTTTCAGCTCCGCATTCTCAAGGCAAAGACTCAGCATGGTATTCCTGCAGGACACATGTCATCAGAGCCAGGTCTGACCTTGACCTTGCTCAGCTCCCAATAACCCCTTTGACCCATGTCTCAGCCCATCAGAGACTAAGAGACACCCCAGGGCATGAAGCTACCTTAGGGACCTACAACAGCTCCTGTATTTTATAGACAAGAAAACCAAGGCTCGGGACGAGTGAGTAAGAGACTTGCCCACATTCCCACAGCTACTTGGTGGCAGCACCATCACTAAAAATCTTGTGCTCGAGACACCCAGTCCAGGTGTCCCTATGTGCCACATAGCCTCCTGTTCTAACTTTCAGTGGCCTCTGGAATAAACAAGGGTACTTACACTGTTAAGGAAAAAAAACAAGGACCTTGCCTGGGACAAAGTTATTACCATAGATTCTACAGTTCTATTAATTATCATCAGTCAGTTTCAACCACTGGATGAGAAATTGGGACCTAGGAACACAGAAGAAATAAATAAATAATACTAATCAGAACTATTATCAAATGTACATAAGTAATTTTTGCTTGGTGTCTGACTCCTGTGACAGATCATCTCATGACAGCAGGGACTGTGTTTGTCCTGTCCACCTTGTATCCCCAGTGCCTCTACATTACACATTCATATTTGTAGAAGTAGTAAAATTGTCTAAACAAATAATTTTCACCAAGACATTCTAGGCTTACCTTTTCCTCCCACCAAATCCTTGACTGGGGTTGGTGGAAGCAATAAAAAAACATGGCCGTAACAAGGCAATTCACCTAACCCCTTTGAGCCTCCATCTCCTTTTATATAAAATAAGGATTACAATACTTACTTAGGGAGTTCTTGGGTGCTTAAATAAAACTACCTATGTGGTGGGGTTAGCTCGGGGTCTGCAACAAAGTCAATGAATTCTGCTGTGCTAGCTGCAGACCTGAGAAATACTAACTTCAGAATCCCATGAGGTGCTTTAGAGCTGAGACCTATGAATTTACATTTTACTTAAGTTCTGCAGGTGCTTCTTAGGCACGCTGTGGAGAACAGCTGACTGGAAGAGGCAAAGGAAACGAGTAATTCACAGCAGGAAGTGTCAGCAGTCGGCTGTCCCCCCAGGTTGGGTTTCTCAGAATCTTGAAGTCTTGAAACCAAGAGCAGAACTTGTCTTGTGTGAGTCAAGGGAGAAAATGGGACTCAGATCCACTATCTATGAGAGTTTTCTCAATGAAGAAAAATGGGACAGGTTTTTTTTTTTGGTTTTGTTTTTATCAAAATTGAGGGGTAGGAGGGAGAGAAAGGGGCACATGTGTAGCATAGAAAAAAATATTTAATATAGTGTTATAATTTTATGTTTTGGAGAAAACACTGCTGTTTTCACAGTACAAAGTAATGAAAGCAAAGCTCAACAAAATCTGGGGAAATGGGCTACGCATTAGAGAAGTTCTATCTTCTATAATACCAGTGACTCTTAAGGTTGAGTGGAGAGTTAAACCAATCAGAGTTTCAGGTTAGTAACTCTGGAGAAAAAAAGGAAAATGATCCACAAAAATATCTACATGGGGTTTGACTGTAGGTTCAATTGTGGGATCAAAAGAGATATAACTGTTCTTACCCATGACAGCTCAACTAACTTTACACATAAAGTTTAAGTAAAAGTTATGCTTTAACTTGGGTAGAATTTAAGGAAAGAAATATCATGATAATTCAGAGCCAATGAATCAGCATTAAGAATGATCACAAGGGGGTGACCCGTTAGCTCAGTTGCTTAGATCGTCGTGCTGATAACACCAAGTTGCTGGTTCGATTTCTCCATGGGCCACTGTGAGCTGCGCCCTCCCTAAAAGAGAAAACTATGCCATTGTAGCAAGAAAGCAATGTGTAACCAATGACCATGGCTGTTCCCCAATAAAATTTAGGAAAAAAAAAAAAAATGATCACAAGAACATTTCAAAAATTGGTTGACAAAGTGTATAGTATAGACAGGGGTTGGCAAACTTCTGAGACGGAAGAGCCGCCAGGGGTCAGCAAACTGCAGCTCACGAGCCGCAGTCTCTGAAGTAAAATTTAAAATGAAAATAAAACTATTATAGTTTCATTTATAAAATTTTAAAAGGATATTATTCACATAATGGTGATTATGTAAAAATATATTTATGGCTCTTGAATAATTTTTAAATTGTTGTGAGGGACAGGATTGGCTCTTCCAGGGGTCGGCAAACTTTTGAGATGGAACGTACCCAAAGAGCCACATGTGCCCCTGGTATAGAAGGTTTAGATTTTTAAATTGGGAGCCAGGGGGTATAAACCATGGACAATTATGCAACTTGGTGCAAGTTACTAGAACTTTTTAGGCCTGAGTTTCCTCGACTACAAAACAAGGACATTAAGCTGGAAGCCAAAGTCTTCTCTAGTGCTAATATCACCTATGATTCAGGGATGCTTACATGGAACAGAATAGGCCAGGAAACAGTCAAGAATGAATTAGAAGTTGTACAGCTGTACAGCTGTGCCCTAAACAACAGACTGTGATGATGATGGCCCCTGGGGATGAATGAATCAATGAATCAGCCCTACATTATCAGTATGTTCCCCAAGCGTCATTAAAAAAAAAAGCCATTAAATTTGTACATTTGCAATTAGAAATATTAAAAATTTATTTAGCTAATTTATTAAAAACGCCATTAAAGACAGAATGGCCAGTCTCGCCAGTGAATTAGCTCTATGCCACTTTTGTAAAATTCATAAAATAGCAGAGATTAGTAAGACTGCTATTCCACGATTCAAGGGCTCATGCTTCCAAGAGGGAGCTGAGTGGAGATGGAGGGGTCCCTGTATAAATCCTCCTCCCTCATGGACTGTTCTGGTTCTGCCTACAGCAGTGGGGCACCTTGGGTACCAGGAGATTCATTCTATGTTCTGGTCAATTCAAAAGAACAATACCAGTCATAAACTAGCAGATTTCCACTCATGACCGTCCTACGGATGGCTAATCATGAGCATCATTGTATTGACTTAAGACCAGATTTCTTTGCGTAATCTGAAGGGTCATTATCAATAGTCACCAGTATGCACTATTATTCAATTTTCTCTGAAGAATTTGCACAACCATAAAGGCATGGAGCCTGGGATGTGGACCAAGAAGCCCCGTGGCAGCACCAATGTCTTGGCAGCAGCAAGGTTGAGTCCCTCGGCTATGTCAGCGTCTCAGCTGCAGGCTCCCCTTCTCTGGGGGGCATGTCCTACCTGATGTGCGCCACAGAGGAGAATCCTGCTTCCTCCAGTTGAGCCTTTAGCTCTCTCAGTTCCCCCTCAGCTTTCCTCTTCTCCTCTAAGTGCTGGTGGATCTCAGCTCTCAGGTGGAGCATTTCCTCCTGAAGACCCCTGTTATCTTCCCCTCCTGTCGGGGAAGGAGGGGGAAGAGGTGCATTCTGGGTCTCCACAGCTGCCAGGCTTTTCTCCAAAGCCACCTTGATGAGCTGAAAGGAAAGCATGGTTTAAAGTTACGTCATTCAAGAGGATCCAAGAGGCACCTCCGATCGCAAAGGCCCCCTTTAACGGGAACAAAAACGGCAGACCAAAAATGGGCTCCCTCCAGGGGCTTTCTCAGCCATAAGGAGACTGGTTTGGGTTGGGGGGAGGGGGGACACACATAGGGAGCCGGGAGAACTGTTGCCATGGGCAGGAAGAGGAGATTCCAGAGGTGGAGGAGGAAAAAAAACCAAGCACGTAATAAATTGAAAACAGAGGCAAACAAATGAGGTTTAAATGGAACTGGGGAGGGTGTGAACGCTGGGGTTCTTCTCCATCTTCTCACAAGTCAAGAAGCTTCAGCAGCTCAGAGACACTGGAGTCCTTGACTGCAAAGATCCTGGCTCGAGATGCCAGAGCTCAAAGCCTAAGGCTGTGCCTTAACTCGGAATTCAAGAGGGAGGACACAGGGCACCCAGGAGTCACAGTCACGGAAATAGAATATGGGCAGAGCTGCAGGTAAGACAAAGCACGCTTAATTTCATTGGCGGGAGGAGAATCACATCCACAATTACGGAGAGGTTAAGGGGAGGCCATCTGCCTCGCAGCCAGTTTCGCTTGTTGGTGAATCACCCTTGTGCTGATGCTCGACACCCTTGTGTCAAGCCAAACTCGACAAATCTAAGCACGTGAGAAGAAAACAAGGCAGGAACAATTTCCCGACCCTTTTTCTTTGAGGATGCTCTTCAAGTTACTCAATGTTTGAACTAAAGCAGATCGTATAGTTTTTCTTCAAATGAGAATTTTCAACTTTTAGACTTTCTTATTGTTTGTCTTGGGCTCCTCTCCAGTTGTCCCCATGCTTTGAAAAGTGTAGAAACCAAAAACCGAGTGTGATCATTGGCTTGGTGTATGACCACTTTATAACAAGAATTTGTCTGCCTGATATTAAATACCTTATGTCCCAATGTCACATTGGCTTCTTTTTCCTCTCAGCGGTAGCATTTTGGGGTTTTATCTAATTTCAGGTCAATTTTGACCTCCCAATTTCCCACCTCTTCCCACAGCTGTTTCTGGGTCATGGCGTTTGTCATCTTTTATCTCTATAAATATTGGGACTTGTACTTGTCACTTATAAATTCATTCTGGCTCTACTGAATGAAAATATGTATGTGCTCTCCATAAATGATGTAGTGGCCACTTGTTTGGGGACAATTTGCAGACTTCATTCTATTATATGCTTTATTCCTTCATCCAGGTCGCAAATATGTTGAACAGAACAGGGTCGAGAAGAGCTTAAATCGATAGAGCAGCTTGGCTTGGCACAAAGCCGTTGACCTTCACTTTTGACCTTGTAACAGAGCATGGTAAAATCTAGACTACAGGCATGTGGTGAGGTTGATTCATGGCATGTGTGTGCAATGGCGTTTAGCAGCATAGCAGTTGAGGTTGCAAAGAAAAGCACCCCTATGTCAAAGAAGACATGCACACTCACAGTTGCTCATTTCCTAGGCATCCAAACCCATCTGGGGTTGTGAGCCTGAGATATGACAGGCTCTGGGATGTCTGTGTCTATGGCTCTGTCACCAGGCTTTGACTGGTGGCCATCCCTGCATGTGCCACAAAACATTTGGGACCAAATAAAGGAAGGGGGACTGGAAGTTTATGACCTCACCCCTCATTTAAACTATGTGAGGTTATCTTTGTATATAAACCGTTTGCAACGAACTTAATTAAACATTGCCATCAGCTTTGCATATGGGCATAACATTTCTTCTTCTCTAAATCTTAAGGGTTCTTTCTGCTTAAAAACAATGTCTACCTTTAATGATATCCACCTATTTTTAAAATGCCTTCTGGGTGGATGTTATCTTTTTCTAGTGATTTAAATATACCTGCCTTCTTTAGAAAGAAAAAATGAAGACTCATGGAATACGAGCACCGGAGAAGACCACAGGCCATCTGGTCTAATTTCCCACTTTAAAATGAGGAAACATATCTGTTTTGTTCCCAGGCTAATTGAGGTTTTCATATTTCCACGCCAAAGGAGCTTACTTTGGCTAACTTATCTTTAAAAACGTAACTGTAAATGCATAAAAAGTGACTCAGGCTCTAGCCTTTTATTAGGTTTTCTTTATCATCTGTGGAAAGCAAGTATTTCCTTTTTTTCCCCCCAAATAAAACCCCAGGGCTTCCAGTATGTGTAGTATGAATTCTTTAGGTCAGCGGTTAGTTCCATCTCTATAAGTTATTCTTTCCTTTTTTTCCCCCTCCCCCCACATTTCCTAATTCATCTGCTGTATTGCTTCCATGGTATAATTCAACTTTTTTGTGTGCTGAGTTTTCATTTGCCCCACAGAGGTCTATGTGCAGATCTGATCTCTTGTTTAAATAAAGTTGTTTTGTTTTTAACCTGCTGCTTCACATCTCCCACAATGTAAGTCAGTTCTCGGGCAGAATAAGGGCATTAAAAAGGGTCTTTTCTCAAGTTCATCACACCATGTTTACTGACTTTTCTCTCCTGTTTTGGTTTGAATCTTGAGTCTTAACTTTTTTCCATTGCGAAAGTTCAAATGAAGAAAAGCAATGAATGATTCGTCTAGTATCTTTCATAGGAATTGCCCAGGTATTTATTACAGATCTTACATTTGATTGAGAATGGAATTCTGTGGGCGATCCCTGGGGGAAATGACTATCATGGCCAGACCTGAGACTTCCTAACGTGAGTTCAAAAATCAGGATGAAGCCATTTGCTGTGGCCAAAAGGCGGTTCTTGCCTTGGAAGGAACACATAGTTAGGTATGTTTGTTAGAGGAACGGTGTGTATGCTTGAGGTAGGAAGGCAACTTTGGGTTGAGAATAAAGTCAACTTTCTAAGGACACAACTAAGGGAAACTCAGAGCCTACTCTTAGGGGACCATTTCCCTGGAAATAAGCAAACACATTTTTGAGAATCTAGACACAACATAGTTATGGCAAAACAAGCTTTATTTAATTGGTAGCAGAAGAGTGACACCCTTAAGCTCCAGGAAACGTGGAGTAAATTTATAATGATTTCACATAAACTTACCCAAAACTGAAGATTTGGTTTTCAAGGAAAGGCGATGGAAAGCCAAATGGTGCCTACCCAAGATATTCTTCATCTGATAAGTATATATTTGTATATCATGGGTCAAGCCCTAATCCAAAGCTTTTCTTAACCCATCAAGTATTCTCTCCTATGTCAAGTCTTAGGGCAGACATTGCAAGGGAAATACAAATGCCTCGATGTAAAGGTTTATTCCAGGGCTGAACTGACCTTCTCAAAATGTGCTCTGGGCATTTTCTCCACGCTAGGCTATAGGAAAGGTTGAGGAATAAATGACTTTAGAAACCAGTTTGCCTACAACAGAGAACTAGGGTGAAGGGCTTGCACTATTAGGAGAGTTTGGACCATGTCAATCAGAATCTGGTTCTCTTCATATATTCTGAAGTTCATTCTGTCCCACGGTAGCAAGAACCAAGTGACCTGCTGACATACCGATCTAGCTCTAAGGGCGAACATTTGGTCATCCTGCAGGCCCTTCTTGCTCACCCACGACCCTCAATGAAATCCGGAAGCAAGAGGCAGAGGGAGGGGTGCGTCCCAAGGGGCTGTGGTTACATAACGAAAGTTACAAGCATTGGTTAGGAGGGCTCAGAAGAAGCTGTTCAAGCAAAAGGAGGAGTGGAGCTCATGCAGCAGCTCAAGGGGAAAAGTTAGGGTCAGGTGTGGCTAGAGCAATCAAGAGGGAATCTTGATGGAAGGTAAAGGAGCTGTGGTGAGGACATGGGGTATTCCAGACAATTACTCATGTCCTCATGAGCTGAAAGCTGTGTGAGATTTGGGGACTGTCACTTGGGCTCTTCTTGTTGGTTTACTAGATGTCTCCTCTTCTTCTCGTGCAAAAGATGGAGAGGCAGATCCAGAAAGCCTCATTTCCCCTACAGTTTTCCTAGTAGCCCCAAGGAAGCGATCACTGCAAAAGCCCAGTTGCTTCTGCGGAAGGACAGATACCCACAATCCACTTCCTCTTTAACAACTCGGAGTCATAGGCATGGTCCATCGAGGAGATGTGATTGCTAACTGTCACCGGGCAAGGCGGAGACACATAGACGTTCCAGTGAGCGCTACGGCATCACCACTGGTGATTTCATCTCTGAGGTCCGGGACATTTCACTCTTGGGCTTGAGAACATGCTGGTTGTATCTTCAGTGATGGTTGGTGGGAACAGGGTTTTGGCCTCGGGTACCAAGTTCTGAGGTTTGACAGGGGCTTGTTCTTGAAGTGTCATCTGCTGGTCACTGACATGTTAGGACCTGGCTGGTGTGTCAGGTGGCCCAACAATGCTCTCTTTTGTATAAGGAGCCTCCACCGAGCATGATCCCTGCTTTGGCAGCATTCCGATCCTCTTAGAGTTTCTCAGAGAGCACAGGTCCCAGGCCCTGTCACCTCCCCAGGTAGCCCTCCGAGGACTCCCTGTCTTCTGTAGTGTGTCTCAGTTACAAAAGCCCAGGAGGGTAAGGGTTCGTGGTCTTGTTGTAAGTAAAAATTCTCCCGAAGCTATAGCTATAGAGGCGACATAGGGGCAAAGGCGGGGAGCAGGAGTAAGAGACAAAAGGAAGAAACACAACAGGGTAGAGTGGAGTGAAAAACGGAGCAGGGTAGAGGCTGGCAAGGCGCTGAGAGGGGGCAGGAAGAAGGCTGGCAAGTGGTTTGTGTAACGAGAGAGCATTCACAAGGGCTGCAGGAGACCTCCAGACCTCAAGGGCCTAGGAACCATCCACCCTGGGAGCCCAGCGCCTGGCTCGGACTTACTTGCTGGTGGCTGTTGAGTGCAGCCTCCTCCTCAATGCTGTCCGTGAACTCGGTGCTCGCATCTTCTGTGTCATCCCCTGTAGCTGCACCTGGAAGTAAGTCCAGAAGAGAAAGGTGACTCCCTTCACAGATGGCTTCCAGACAGCAGCTAACATGACACTCCTTTTGCCATCCGCCTCTGATTTCTTCCCTTCCCCATATGCATGGCCCCCTAGCTGAGAGGGCTAACAGAGAAGGCAGAACCAATGTGCCCAATCTGTATAAGAGCCTTCTCACTGTATCACTACGACTTTCTTACTATCACTCAGACTGGAGCCTCAAAACGTCAGCTGGCCTTTACTGCACAGACCTGTACCTAAGAGGCCAGCTGGCAGAGTGGTCACCCCTCTCACCGGTTTCCAGAAAGCCTGAGTTATTCTCTCTTGCCACGGACTGGTTATGTCATAACTTTCTCTTCTGTAGCATGGGCCTAACATAACTAACCTTTTTCCCAGCACTGAAAGTTGAGAGGGCCTCTGATTTCCTGGGGTTTGGGGTGCCCCAGCTCCTCTTATACTTTTCCATTGTTGGGATCGGCTGTGTGTTGGGATGACAAGCTCTCTGAAAAATTGTCCTCCAGGGGGCGCTGTGTCCTACAAATCTCAGGTCTAGTCAAGAGCCAAGGCACAGAATAGTTTAGCCGTTTTCTAATTCCTTCCTCTAACCTCCCCCTTCCCATCTCTCTCAGACTCTTGTTCAATTCCAACATCCTTTGCCTAAAGGGCTTCTTGTACTGCCTTTCCCAAATGGGTTTTAATCCATTCTTTTATTCCCCAAAGATAGACAGTCACCCCAGGGCACAAACATCCAGTGTGTGATCTGGGCAACTGTCTAGAGCAGTGCCGACCAACAGACTCCGAAAGTCTATGCCTGCGCTGCTCGGTGCGCTAGACGCCAGTCACATGTGGCTACTGGGCACTCGAAAAGTGGCTGGTGGGACTGAGGCACTGAGATTTCTATTTCATTTCATTTAAATTCAAATTCAAATAGCCACATGTGGCTAGGGGCTACCATATTGGACAGCACAAATCTAGAACCTTTCTTCCTCTCCACATCTGTTAGAATAAAACACGGTGCATCCAATTTTAGATTAAGACCTGTGGCCCACATTACAGATTTCTTCTGAAAGTGTAGGAATTTATCACAGTCAATGCATTTGAACGTCAAAGAAACGCTACCATGACACTCCCTGGGCCTTACAGAACCTGCCCAAGATCTAGGCCTGACCCTGGCCTTGACAGCCAATCTGTGCAAACTCCTCTTCTGACCACTCCGTAGTAACCTGGGCCTCAAAGAGATTAGGTGGCTTGTCCAACGTTACACACCTAGTCCTCACAAGAGCTGTGCCAAAGGGTCAAGTCTCTGGACTTTCAGAGGCAACTCAATCTTCCTTCTGACGACCAGTCAGCTCTTTATCTTTCTTCCCCCCAAAACTGAAGACCTACACCAGAGCTCAAACACTCACAGATGACAGGCCCTGCGTGGATAGTGAGCATTGACCACCACCTGCAGGTAAGGTAACGGGGGCAGTGCACACCGACATGCCATCTCCTGGCATCTGCAAGTTCGTGCCAGAGTATTTTCAATGGCCCACGTCAATCTCACTGAAGTCCTTAAAGGTTGTAAGCACGTTGTCCTAACAGTTTAACCTTATGACTCATTGCCTGGTCTTCACAGTCAATGTTGTGTTAACTTTGGACCAAGGCAGTTGTTCAACAAAGCCCTACTCCCAAGGCGGCACCCCTACCACTCAGCATCTTCAGAGACCCCTGGCGGACAGGCCCCGGTCTGGATTCCCAATACTTGCTCTTTTAAACCAGCCCAGAACCATGTCACTCAGGACACTGCTTGTGTAGAAGTCACTGAACACTCTCCCTTAGCTTTGGCAACTCGCTGAGCCCAGGATGCTAATTCAATTGAGGATATCCATATCATATGTTACTCTTACTTTCAAAAATCTTTCCTTGTACAACGGTACAGATCAGAATCTTTTTTTTTTCCTGCCAAGAAAATGAATTGCCCTGCTCAGTGACAGATTAAGAAAACACACTTTTCACATTGTATCCCTCTGAGCGTTGGGCTAGAGAAGTTGAAGAAAGCTCAGCTCTGTGACTTCAGGATCCTCATCCCACATCCATTCTCGGTGGGTTGTGTAGCCATGCTGGGCCCACCATCCCAAGATGATTCCTGTACTAGATTCCAGGAGCAAGGTGAATGGGAATCAGAATGGGTGATTTTCACTGGTCTTGAAGGCTTTTGTCTTTCTGCCCTCTACTTACCTCCATGGCCTTTCTGATCCCCTATCTGCATTTCTAGATAATGCTCTCTCTTTAATTCACTTGGGGCAGGATACCATGGTGTTGACTTCAGGAGTTAAATGGAGACCAAGCAAGAATGTCCATTTCATCCCAACACTCCACAGGAGTTTTGCTTTCCTTAGTTTTATTAATTTTTTTTTTTACCTAGTTTATCATTTGTTGTACTTCCTTCTGGCCAGCTTTAAGGGTTGCTCAGGCTTTTACAAAGTTGAATTAGAATGCTGGAAGCTTTTGTGTGTGTATTTGCAGGGTGGAAAAGTTTTAAAAACTTTATAGAAAATATTGTAATGAATAAGTTACCCCACACAAGGTTCTACGAATAAGTTACATTAGACATCTTTCTTTCTGTTGTTACCATTTCTGGTTTTTTGTTTTTGTTTTTTATAAATGACAATAAAAGAACTTCTCTTTTGTGGGGAACCCCCCTTTCTAAGCTTTTACAAGGCAACAAAACACTATCTTCAGAACTAACTTGGAATACTTTAAATTTCTAATTTAAAGGTATACTATACTTTATATTGATTTATCTACTGCTTATTTTTGATAAATGTGAAATAAAATGGTCTGCCACCTTTAGAATCTCTGAAAGCTAAGAATATGTTCATTCAAAGTTAATTTGCTTCTCCAGGTTTTATCTCCAGAGTTCTTTTATGCATTACACTGGAAATTATATTAAAAACATTTACTTGAGGCTTCGACGGTGGTTCTCAAGTTGTGGTTCTTGCGAGTTTCTAGGCTCCAAACCACACATAATGGAGGTGGTATCAAAACTTTCCTTTTAGATTTAGAAAATTACTTCTTACCAGCTATCTGACTATAAAGTACACAAATAAAATAAACCTCTAAAATACTATAAAATCCTTGGGTGGAAATTTAAGCAGTATGTAAATATATTCTTTTTATCATTTAGGCAAAAATTCACACTTTCGTGGAGTTTCATCAATTGAGGATGGTATATTTATTAGGAATAGGGGCTCTGGGGTTTTATAAATCAAGGATGGTATAATTATTAAGAACAGGATGCTGGAGACAGACTGTGTAGGTTAGATTTCTGCTTCTGTCATTAGTTGTGTGGCTTTAGGCAAGTCACAACCTTCCCCGTAATTCAATTCCCTCACTTATTAATTAGGGTTAATAGGAATATCCAGTCCATGCAGTTGTGAACTTGAAAGGGTTTGCTGCTTTTGAAGTGCTTAGAATGGTGCTTGGCATGCAGGGCGTTCTCAATAAATAATGCCCTTAAACAATACTGTTGTCTTATTATTGTTGGTAAAATGAGGTGTCCTACAGGCTGACAAGTGGAGGGTTGAAAAAGGCAGCCATGGAGCCTACGTGTCATCAGCAGAGAGACATTTTATACCTAGTGTGAGTAACTGGGTGACGTTGACCGAGTCTGTCTGCACGTCTACACTTCTGAATGTCTGTTTCCCTCAACAGGAGGTTGGAAGTGACACTTTGTCTTCCCTGCTTCATGGGGCAGCGTGAAGCACACAAAGCCACACGGAAAGCAGGGTGAACTCTTTTGAGCAGGCGCTTCACACATACGCGCCGTTGTCATTCAGCTACCGTAAAACTCCATCGTGCACGGATAAGCCTTAGCGGGAAAGTCGCGAGGTGTTATTTTTTCAATAATGAGCCCAAACTGGGTTGCGACAGGATCATTTTCCCCAGTTTCAGCTTTCTAGTCATTATTGTTTGCCCTCGAAGCCATTTATATGGGACCAACAGAAATGGAATAATATTTTCCAGTTCCTCAGAACATTAGGAGTCCCATTCGATCAATTCTGAAAGATTCAGAGCTAAAACTTGACGGCATGACCAAGCTCACAGTGCCACGCCCGGCTTTCCTTTCCCTCCGTGCCAGGGCGTCTGGGCCTGTCTCACTCTCACTTTTAGGAACTGTGCCACAGGCTCATTATGGGAACTTCCACATGTCCACAACGTGAAGCAGCTACCGCGGACTTAAATACTGTAATGCTGTAGGAGAGAATCCAAGAAAAACGGTCTCCTATCCAATTCTGCAGTTCCATCTGCATCCATTCCCTTCCAGGCCATAAAAAAGCGTTTAAGTTTCCACATAGTCCTGCATAAGCAAGCGTCTGCTGAGAAATAAAATTCTTAAACTAGACTGACGCTGATCTTAGAAGTAGCTGGAAAACGGCTGTCTGCGGTCAAGCCCCTTTATGGTGTATCTTTGTCGTTAAAATGCAACATCTCTTTTGTAGCCTTCCAGCTCGTACTTTATTCAGAAAGCCACTGTTTTCAGTGACTTAAAATTCTGTCATGTCAAGGAATTCTTCGTGATCATGAGGAGGATAGCACCACCCACCCTAACAATTGGCTCCTCAAATCTTCATCCTGCTTTCGCCTTCTCTCCTTCAGCCAGGAGAGCAACAAAGGGTTTTTAGGGTAAAGTAGTCCCTTTCGCATTTCTGTGGGAAGTATAATGCTGTTTCTTTAGCCTCACTCCCTGGAGAGCAGAAAAATTCAGGTTTTTTCCTCTTCTTTCCTTTCGTTAAATAAATACAAAGGCATTCCCTCATTCCAGAGCCTTACTCTGGCTGGGGATTTCAGTGCAATGATCAATAATAGACTGATTCTCTTATAAGGAAAAAAAGATATGAGCTTTCTCTACTTCTTTTCTCAGAGATCTTTTAAGAATAAAACCAAATAGTTACTGTTTGGCCTTTGATGCTTTTATTGGATTGGTAACAACTTTTTGTCTCAACTAA